TAGTATTGAGAAAGTGCTCCTACCCCATCTTATTTATTGAGATAGAATAGTAACACTAATATGAGATGGCAATACTTTTGTAACAACAAAGACATAATTAAGACTAATAATATCAATAATTAGTGTGAAAAACTAATAATAATTATATACATTATGAACATGATTTTAATAAGGCTTAAAGGTGCAATGTTGATAGTTTAAAACTATACAAAATCTTGATATTAATATTTGTCAATGTTTTAGGCTTTAAAATAAGAAAAGGAGAAAATGAAAAGTGAGACCATGAGAGGATTTTAAAGCAAGCTAATTGTCACGATTTATCATTTTTCATGAGGTTAAGGAGCTCTAAAACGTTCCATAATCCTCCAGAAGGCTCCCGAGCAACCTTAAGAGTGCTAGAGAGTGCAAGAACATTGTAGAGAAGTCTACACAACTCTAGCCTCAATATTTTAATATTTGCTACTAGATCTTTCCATGTAAATATCTAGATATTTGTTGTAAATATCTAGGAGAGGATTTTAGAGAATGAATTGTAACCGTAGGATCGATTCAATCTTCACCGTCCATTAAGGAGGTGGGAAATATCTAAAACTAAGGGAGAGGCCTATAAATACCTCACCCCTCCTCATTTGTAACACACAACTCTTGAGTTCTCAAAGCAATATTACTCTCACATTCTCTAAGTTCTCTTCCAAGTGTCCTTTGCCCTCAAGCTTTCCTTTTCTTCAAACTTATCTAAGCATCCTCTTTTCATACAAGTCAAGCTTACTTAGTAACTTCCAGTGAAGATTGTCTAAGTGCTGCGCGGGTCGAAAGACTAACCCTGTAACAGAATGTAGTATAAATTAATGTATTATAGATCTCACTATTCTGTTGTTACATAGATAAAGAATTTAGCACAATAATTAATGTTATACATAGAACAGTTGGAACTTTTTAACAGGAAGAACAGTCAATACTTTTTATTCTTTTTCATCCACATTTAAATATATAATAATATAAATATCAATTACACATATATATAATAAGGATATTAATATTTTTTTTTTGGAGCCCTAAGGCAATTGCCTCACTTGCCTTGTGACTTCCATGACCCTGCGAAAAAGATTTTATATATTTACAATTACATTTTATGAGTTGGTAGAGTTCTACTCTTTACCCTCAATATTTGAGGGAAATAATCTTTATCGTCCATGGATCCTATTCCATGTCCTTGTATAAAAAAGTTTTATTCAATTACAATTCCACTTTTGTAAGTCCTTCTGTTTTTATTTTTAACATTTAAAATAATTACTAGATGTAAGTATGTAACATACATAACTAGAAAAAAAAAATACATACCATTACATCATATCAATCTACAACTCTGACAGTAAAAATTATTCACTTAAATTTCAATTGCAATTATTAAAATATTTATATAGAACATTTAATATGGTATAATTGAAAGGGTATGCATTTTTTTAAAAAAATTAAGATTTTAACTAATTTTTTTAGAACGGTAAAATAATAATGGATGTCTTATATTATATATGATTCAAAAGGAGTATTAATTATATATATAAATTAATATCAATACACTGTCCCCGATCCTTAGTTCTAATTATTCTCTTCATATCACAATATAAGGGTATGTTTAATTTTAGTTCTCATTTTTTGTTTCCAATTTTTTTAAAATACAATTCTTAAAATTATTTTTTTCAAAAAAGAAAATATGTTTGGATGTGTTAATTTAAAAACAGTTTTATAATTACAAATCAGTCAATAATGATGATCATTAATGGTTAATGGTAGTGGTTTATGATAATTATTAGTCAAGATAAATATAATTTTTAATAATCAAAGGCAATACATTTGAAAAAAAAGAAAAATAAAACGAAAACAAATTTGAGATGTTTTTATTTTTTATTTTTAAAGATAAAAATGAAAATAATTTTAGAAACAATTAGTTTCAAAAAACTCATCCAACCAAATTTTTTAATTTCATTATTTTTAACAACAAAAACCAACAGGTCCTAAGTAGTAATTGTCATTTGATTTATGTTTTTAAAAAAAATTAGTTAAAAATTTATTTTTCTAAAATTTTTCATATCATTTCAATTATAACACTGAGTGTATGAAATAAGTATAATATTTGATTTATTTAAAATACTATTGAGTGAAATAAAGTAAGGCTAAAATTGAAAAAAAAAATTCAAAATATCCTATACTTTAAATTAAGCATAGCTTCTAAAAAATGCCTTAAACTATAACATGGAAGGAGTATAATACAAAGTTAACTAAATTCTTAATAAATGACAATTACTTAATGGGGATTTTGCATATATAATTCATGTTATAGAATCAAATTAAGTAAATAACCCAATATTTATTATATTTTAAATTATGACTAGTTTATTATATTTGTCAATGATATACTATTATCCAATAATAAACTCTTTGTAAATTTTTTAATTTTCAATGACACATCATTTGTATATTAAAGATGAACTTTTTGCATATCAATATAAACCAACCATATTCTTTAATTTTTAAAATTTGGTCTATATTTTTTGGGCATAAGATTTTTTTTTCATGAATGAACTAATTTATCCTTTCTTAATTAGAGTACTATTTAATGTCTTTAAATTTCTAAAATTATTTGCCTTTTTAATTTTTCTCTTCATTATAATTATAATATCACAATAGAATATATATATATATATATATATAGGGTTAAAGTTTATTTTTATCCTTAAATTTTTTGAGGATCACTAAGCATCCTATACTAATAAGTGGGATAATTTTTTTCTTTGACTATTTTTTTGATGAGCCAAAAAACTCTTTTCATTAATCACTCACTAACTTTGTCATTTTCTATTGACATAACATATGTGTGGGATCTATACGCAGTGATAGGCATGACTCTGATCATGTCATTTGTGTTAATTTATCTCTGACTTCTTTTTTTATGAATATTGAGCATCTTGGAGTCTTTTTTAGAAGTACTAGGTACTCTCAAATCTTGTTAAAAAAATTTCATAAATATTATTAAGATATTAAAATAATAAATATTTTAATATTTAATAATATTTAATATTATTATTTATAAATATTCATCAAAAATTTATAAATTATTTTTTAATTCTTAACTCAAACTTTTTTTAGAAATTTATTTCAATATTGATTAAGTTACTAAATTTTTTAGGTTATTATCTATAATTTTTTTATCAACTATGGTTTTTTTTAAATATTGTTCCATCCAAATTTAATATTCTTAGTACATTGCAATGTTAGAAGTAATATAAAAAACATAACATATTGGGACTAACATGTTAACAAGAATATTTAAGAAGATATCACATGTTTGATTAATGTACAATAAAAGGAGCTATTTAACAAGAGAATATTGGATTGATAAGGGGAAAGTATTGGAGGGTTTTTATTTTATCTGTTAATTTGAAGATCCATGTCCTCTTTTTTCGATACAAAGTTATAAACTATTAAAATATTAATTTGGATGTTCAATATTTTAAAAGAGAATCATTAATTGATCTAAAAACTTACAGAAAATGACTTAAAAATTTTAAAAAACTTAATCAATATTAAAAATATGATGGATATATAAAATATTACAAATTATTTGTAAAGTTTAGAAAAACTAATTTAAGCCATGTTGATATTTAAAAAATAATTTATAAATTTTTTGATAGATATTTATAAATAACAATATATAAATTATTAAATATTAAAATTTTGATAGTTTAATAATATTTATTAAATTGTTCAAAATTTGAACAAAACTTCAAGATGCGAATGTTTTTAAAAGAGTGTTTAGGGATAAATTAACACAAAAAAATATAGTCAATCTTATTTATCACTGTATGTGAATCCCACACATATGCCATATCAATATAAAATGATAAAGTTAATGGATGACTAATTAAACAAGTTTTTACTTCTTAAAAAATATTTTTAAAAAAAAATTAATTATTTAATTCTTATAATTTTAACTTAATTATAATTCAATCACCTAAATTTTGACTCATTATAACTTAGTTCTTGAAATTTTGACTTAGTTATACATCAGTTTCTAAATTTTATCTCTTATAATTTAACTCTTAAAGTTTCAATTTCTTAAATAGTAGTTCTTATATTTTAAAAAATAAAATTATAAAATTAAAAAATATTTTAAAATTTATTACTAATATTTTAAATTATTAAACCCTTTTAATCTTTATAAATATTATAAATATTAAAATTTTAAAATATTTTTAATCTTTATAATTTTATTTTTTAAAATATAAGGATTAATATTTAAAAGATTGAAACTTTAAAGACTAAATTACAAGAGATAAAGTTTAAAAACTAATTTATAAATGAGTTAAAATTTCAAGAATTGAGTTATAACGAGTTAAATTTTAGATACTGAATTACAATTAAAATAAAACTATAAAAAATAAATAATTAATTTTTTTTAAAAAAACTGCTCAATTTATTAATACAAGGCACTTGCGTCTCCAACAAAATAAACTAATCTTATAGTACATATAATTTATTTATATTTTATGACAACTCTAAGAAATTTAGGGCTTATTTGGTTTCTATTCTTAATTTTTTATTTTTAAAAACTGTTTTGTAATATAATTTTTAAAACAAAATAAAATAAAAATTCATTCACTTATGTCAATTAAAAAAAATTTTTAAAATTAAGAAAATAAATTGATAGTTATGGTTATAGATAATTAATAATGGTGATTAATAATACAAATTGATCAATATAACTATAATTTGTAATAATCAAATATAGTATATTTTAAAAATAAAAAAATAAAATAATTTTTACCTTTTTAAAAAAACAAAAAATGAAAATAATTAAATAAAAAACATTTATCTAAATAAATTTTAATTTTTTTAAAAATAAAAAATAATTTTTCAAAACAGAAAACAACCATGCCCTCACACAGCACCGCCCATTGCCTTGTTCTCATCAATAAAAACAGACAGGCGCCGAGCGAACGACAACCTCTACAACACCTCCATCACCATGTTATGCCGCCAAAATCACTAACTATCACAATTCACAGAAACGGCCGAAATAATCCCCACCGAAGCGTTTCGAGCTTCCAGTTTCATTTCTTCCCTCCATTCACGAATGCCGAGTCACTGACTCGCTTCCCGCCATGTCAGTTCTTCCCTCCAAGCGCTTCTCGCTGAGTTCTCCCCAACCCGCTTCCACCGCCGGGTCGACCCTTGATCTTAAGAAGCGGGTCATTTCTTGCCTCAACAAACTCTCCGACCGAGATACTCTCGCCGTTGCTGTTGCAGAGCTCGAGTCCATTGCTCGGACCTTGAGCCACGACACCTTCTCCACGTTCATTTCCTGCATTCATAACACTGATTCCTCTTCCAAATCGCTCGTTCGTAAGGAATGCGTTCATCTCTTGACCGTTCTCTCTCACTTCCACGGTGATGCTCTGTCCCCATTTGTCTCTAAGATGATCTCCGCTGTCCTTCGTCGCCTCCGTGATCCTGACTCCGCCGTTCGATCCTCTTGCGTCGATGCCATCGCTGCAATGTCTTCTCGGATCACCAAACCGCCGTTCCCGACTGCTTTTTTGAAGCCGTTGATGGAGACTCTCACGCAGGAGCAGGAGGCCAACTCGCAGATGGGTGCGGCACTGTGCCTCGCGGCAGCGATTGAGTCGGCGCCGCAGCCTGACGTGGAGGCGCTGAAGAAGAGTGCTCTGCCTAGGCTGGGGAAGTTGGTGAAGAACGAGGTGTGCAAAGCGAAGCCCGCGTTGTTGGTTCTGATAGGGAGTGTTGTTGGTGTTGGTGGCGCTTCTAGCCAGGCAGTGTTGAATTGGTTGGTGCCTTGTCTTGTTCAGTTTCTCAGCAATGAGGATTGGATGGTCAGAAAGGCAGCGGCGGAGGCGTTGGCTAAGGTTGCTGTGGTGGAGAGGGATCTGGCATCGCCGTATCAGGCGACGTGCTTGAATTCGTTACAGAATCGAAGGTTTGATAAGGTATTGAGCTTCGTTTTTTCTCATTGATGAAAAAAACTCCGTAACTCATATTACCTAGAAAAGTAGTGTGGGGAGAGAATCTATACAAGAAATTGCTTTGTTGCCTACTCGTTTTGAAGTAAGGAGGGGATTTTTAACTTCTGTAGCAACTAAATTTCTTTGAGTCCCTCCTTATCCCCCCCAAAAAAAAAGGTACGTGGGAGAGTGTTCGATTTCCGTTGAAGGTTTTTCAAGTGTCTTGATCAGGGCGGAAATGTTGTAACAGATCAAGGTAGTTCGGGACACCATGAATCGTGCCTTGATGATGTGGAAGGAGGTAACAGATTTGACCGTGGATGTTTCTGCTCCTGCAACACCGGCATGTTATTCAGCTGGTGAGGCTTTAATATTCAGAAAATGATCATGCTAATTGTCTAATTCATTCGTAGTTGTTCATTCAACTGGTCACATAATCTCTATTCTTCTTTTCTTTTCCTGGTTTGCCTCCATGTCACTCGGGCTACTTGGACTTGGACATTATAAAGCATCTTCTGTAACTCGGATTTTGCTTGTTCCAAGTTGACAGTAGTGAATGGAATGTGGAAACGTTAAGAGGAGACGGATAAAAGTTAGAGATGGAAGGAATAAAACTAAAAATAACTTAATCTGCGAGAATCATTTTATCAAAAGTGGTGAGAATGTAAAGGAACAAATACTAAAAATGTATTTTCAACTTCAATTTTATTTCCTTCACTTTCTTTTCTATCACCTCCTCTTTTATTATATCCATTTTGTTTTTTAACAACAACAAAATTATGATATATACTATCCTTTAGTGTATAATTTGAAGTTTTGTTTCATTTTATTTCCTGTGTCTCTTGCTTAATGCAAATCATGTGAGCCTTGGCCCCTACTGGTGAAGCAATCTAATTCCCGGTTTTCGTTTTTGGCTTTTTTCATGGTCCAGATAATGGTAAGGAGCAATGTTCCGCTAAATGTTCAGTGGGTAGTAGCATGAAATCTTCTCAACGAAAGAAAACAATCTCCACCAGCAGGCCCCCTCCATCTGAGGTTTCATTTGTACCCATGGTCAAAAGAGAGAGCTTTAAAAAGATCAAGGACAGAAGTTCAAATTCGGGGATGTCATGTGAGATGGACTGTGAGAAGTTGTCTGATAGGAAATTTGAAACTCCAGATTCAAATTCTTTTCCATTGAACATGGATAGGGAAGATGACATTAAAAGGTGTGGTTTAGAAGTTTCAAAGCCATGCTTGAGTCAGAACTATGAGAATCCAAGAAAAGAAATAAGGCGCGCCCTCTTTAGCAAGAAATCTGATGGGAAATTGCATAAATCTGGTGGTTTAAGATCAGGGTCGCGAGTGGTTCCATTTTGTGATGATGACAGCCCTGACACAGAATTCACCTTGGACAATGTAAATGAAGCATGTGACAACCCCCAAGATGTTGAGAATCTATCTTTGATCCGTGAACACCTTAGTCAAATCGAAAACCAGCAATCAAACTTATTAAATCTCCTTCAGGTACATTAAATTGCCTTTAATATGCATATTTCTGCAAAAATCAACTGAAAACCTCTTTTGGTACCCCATTATAGTACTTGTACTTTTTTTTTTGTTTGGCCAAAATTATAGTGTAGTACTTAACATTACTGTTACTTTCTATGTCAACTCATTCCTTTTCGTGCTTATCTAAAAGACTCAACGTGTATTCAGGTTTTGTGCTTATTTCGATGCCTCTTTTCTTCAGTATTTGTCGGTGTGTTTCGATGAACGCTACTGTTATAATATCTATTTAAAATAAACTTTCCTTGCACGCAAAGTATTATTGGCAGTTCTTGTTGCCTTTCTTCATGGCTACGGCATTTGTTTCTCTTGCTTACACAACATTCAAGGCTTATGTCTTCCCCTCTTGAATATAGCGATTCATTGGAAGCTCTCAAATTGGGATGAATTCTCTAGAGACACGTGTACATGGCTTAGAGATGGCTCTGGATGAGATATTACATGATTTGGCAGCATCACGTGGCAGGCTAGGCAATAGTGATGCTGCAGAAGATATGTGCTGCAAGCTACCTGGTTCTGAGTTTCTGAGTTCTAAATTCTGGAAGAAGACGGAAGGACGGTATTATGGAAACCAATTATCATCAGATGCTTTGCAAAATGCAGCTGAGAAAGATGGTGGTATTGAAATGTTCACTACAAATAATAAAAAAATTCAACATCGTGGGGTAGGACTGTATGTGAACCCATTGGCAAGTGATTCAAAGGAGCGTTTAAGGCAACATTCGTGTAAATTGCCAAAGGACATTGTCCGAAATACTGAGAGAACACAAAGTAACAATACCAGCTGACACGATGGCATTTCACTGACTGCATCCACGAACTAGAATTGCAGGTAAACTGTGCTTCTGATTTTAGTAGTTAAATGTTTTGTGTATGAGACAATTTTCTTTAAAGAGTTGAAACATTAATAACAACAATGTTTAGTACATAGAAAAATGTTTTATATAAAAGAAATGATGAATGTATCTAGAAATAAAAAGAGAACGGTGCATTTCCTTTCTTAAAACAATACTTTTCTACCTCCCAAATATTGCATTTTGATTGGATGATGATTGGATGTGAATATTTACTTGCAAGACACTGTAATATATTATAATGCTGTGACACGTTTTGATTCATGTAAAACAAAGCTGAAGAAAAACCTTCCTGATTATATTGGCGATGTGGAATTGAAACTCCAAAAAAGGGGCGAAATTAATTCATGGATTGATTTTATGATTATAATCATTATTATTTTTATTCTTCTTTTGGGATAAGGTTGGGGATGTTTGTCGTTAATCCTAGGGATGTTAATGTCTAGGTTGTGTGTTTTTTTTTTTAAAATATAACTTAAAAGATTTTGTTTTTAATATGTGAATTTTCAGATCATCCGTGTAGTGAAAGACCGTAAGGCAAACATGCGGCCGTGGCAAGCATAGCAAGTCATGATGCCGAACATGAAACTTATAATCTGCTTTCTTTCGAGCACCAGAAAAGGTACCTTCTCAATTTTTTTTTTTTTGTATAGCTGGGGAATTTTCTTGATATGTACCATAATTATATTATATTGTGTTGTATCTTGGCAATCTTTAGTGCAAAGGAAAAAAAAAAGAAGAAAAGATTATGTCGTAAAAGAGGCTTATGTTAGGAATGCGCTAAGCAAAGAAGAAAAGTCACTCGAGTTTTTATGCGCTAGCAACTTGGATTCTGGGCCGGGTCGTGTAGCCCATCAATTTTTCGCTATGCAATTAGTATTTGTATCGCTGGTCACTGTAATTGAGAGGCCCATGTAACTATTTATGAGTGAATGTATTTGAATTATAAAAAAATTTAAAAAAACAAATATTTCGTACATGTAATTATCTGATATTTGGTACTATTTGGTCAAGTATAGTCAAAGGCCATTGCCATTTAGGAGTAGCTCTCAAAAAATGATTTATTTTATTCACAATGTTTCAACTCGATTTTTTATAAGGAGAATGTGGAAAGTACTATTTGGTTTACAGAATAATTACATGCTTTTTTGGTAGATATCTACTTTAATAATTTTTAACATCATAGTTAAGCGGCATTGAAATAGGAAAAATCTAACTAATCTAATTCTTTTTTTAAGTTATGATTATATAAGAATAAGTTATTCTTTTTTTTTTAGTAAAAATACCAATCTCAAACTATAATTTTTATCAATATTATTAACATTTTAAAATCTACCTGTTTTAATTTGATTGTACAAGAATTTATTTTCTTCATTTAAAAATGTAAGGCATTTTTAGTGTTTAAAGTGTAATTAATGTGCTTATTTTAAAATGTCTATGATAAATGAATCACTTAATATTTATTTTAAAATGAAATGTCCTATTAAATAAGAGTAAAAATGAAAAGATAATGTTAATTTTAAAATAATTAATTACTTTATTAGAGGGTGAGATTCGATTAAAAATATTTTATATTTTTTAATTGAAGAAATATTAAATGTATAGAATTAAGTAGATAAATTTTTCTCATATTTGTCAAAAATTAATCGATCTTTAAAAGGTTAGATAAAAGGGAGAGTCATAGATAAATCCTTTTGAAATAAAAAAAATGATAATCTAGTCTCACAACATGTGATTGATAGTGAAATCCCAAAGGATTTCTTGGTTGTATGAAATTATTTTAATGTCCTTATATAATTTAGAAAGTTGTGATTTTTTTATTTTTTTTAATCATTGATAGAATCAAACTTGTGAATACTTATATTAAACTTATAAATAATATAAAATTACTTAGTTTTTGTTTATAGAGAATTGTAATTTTTTAAATTGTTAGTGAAACTAAACTTGTAAGTACTTCTATTAAATTTGTGAATCATATAAAATTGATTAGACTTTGTTATTTGAAGAAGATTGCTAATTTTTTATTTTCTAAATCATTTTACTCATTGATAAAACTAAATTTAAAATATTTATACTAAACTCATGAACCATATAAAATTAATTACAGATAGATAGGTATTAAAATAATTTTATATAGATATTTAATCTTAAAGAAGTTTCTTTAGACTTCATCGTCATTATCATATTTCACAGAACATCTTATTTTATATAAATTTATCTGTCATTCTCCTCAGTAAAATTATCCGAATAGAATGTTAACAAAAACTAAATATATTTTTATATTTATATAAATTATTAGTTGTTCTGGGCGGCTTAAACCACAGAGCCCACCTTGTTTTTCGTTCTTGGACTGAATATTGGAGCCCACTTTAGTTGAAAGATAACATGCACTTGAAATCTTAAAAGTATCCATATCGTAATAATAAATTTATTAAATAAGAATTATGCTACATGAGAATATTCGCATACCAATGAAATGAGTCAACAAAATGAAGTGACAATGGCTCAATTATTGGGCTTAATCCATTATGTGAATCATTAAGATATTCTATCGATTGCATTTGGACAATGATGTGATGAAAGCACGTTTGATGGCTGCCTTTCACCTTCGCAATTTTAATGATACCTTCATTTACAAGATTTCATCACTACTCTAACTATATCGCCCTCCTTAACTTGTTTTTTTTGTAATATTTCTTGAAATATTATTAGGAAATTCAATTTAAAACTAGGAAAAATGACAGAAAAAATCTCCACAAATAACAATGAAATCTCTCAACATATCACAATTTTTCTCTAATTACTTTAGCTAAAACAATGATTACTTTTTTTCTAACAGTGATTAAAATAAAACAAACAATTACAACTCCTCTCTTGTGCAAATTTTTGATTTATTAAAGTTTAAATGTTACAAATATCCGTGAACCATGACTAATTTAATTTAATCAATGATTACTTTTTTTCTAGCAATGATTAAAATAAAATAAGTAATTATAATTTTCACTGTGTAAATTTTTTATTCACTAATATTCAAGTTGTAAATATCCGTGACTACTTTAGCTTAAGTAATAATTGTTTTTCTTTTGTTAATAACTAAACGAAACAAGCAATTATAACTTTAGTTTAAACAGGGGGTATTTTAGTCATTTTATTAAAAATAATTAATGTCAAAAATGTCCCTAAAAACTTGAAAAGAATTATGGCACTTCATGAGACTTTATTATCATTTGCGTATTTTATGGAGGGTTTTTATCTTATTTTCCCTTAAAATTACACATATTTTATCCATGTTCATGACTTGTGAATTATGCAATTTTCTATATAGATTTTATTATATATACATATATTTATTTATTTATTGATATATTGATCTTAGTGCACACGCATATATACAAATGTTATTGCATCGGAGTCCATTATTATTATTCATCTCATCTTTACTCTTACCAACTGATTTAGTCCTGAAAACTTCAAATGTATATTTTGAAATTTTAAAATAAAATGTTTGTTGCAACTTGCAAGTTTTCTAATAATATTGTTTCATGAGAATCATGGTTTATTTCAACATTCCATTTTTCATAGGATTTTATTTTTGGCCTGAAGTTTTTCATAGGCTTTGAAACTATTTGATCCCATATATATTCATAACATTTCAATTTTTATTTTATTTTTTTATATTGTGATTTTGCAACAGACAAAAAATTGTGAAAAATTTAAAATCCTCACACCAAACATGTGAAATTTTGACAGTGTCCAATAGTCTTGAATAGAATCGCTTTATAGTTTAAATAATATATACATAAAAAAAAAAGTGCTATAGTTATTATTTTACGCTCACGGCTACATAATTAACAAGGAAAAACGGAAAAAATCAATTTCAAAAATAAATTTTTCTAAATTTATTTTGAAATTTTATTTTATTTTTTGAATAAATGAGTAAATTACCCCTTAAACTTTCAATTCAATAACAATATAGATCCTAAACTAGTTTATTATATAATTTATTTCTTCAACTTTTAAAAATGGTGCAATTTAACTCTTATCATTAATAAAAATTAGTTAGTTTATTAGAAAATAACCTTGAAAATTATAGAGATACTAATGTGGTGAAGTAGCTAGAGATACTAATGCCTTTTGATTTGTGGTTTCATTGTTTTAATGCCAACAAAGCAAATTACCCTGCAACTATTGCTGAAGTTTTTCGAACGATTTATGGCCTCCAGCTTTGTTGGGACAACAATCTCCCCTGACCTTGCCCTGCAACAAAGGCAATTATCCTTTCAAAGATATTATCTTTTATGCTATATCCTTGATTTATAAGAAATTAAGAATTGGAATGTTAGTTTGAATTTTATGTATAGAGAAGCTAATGTTTGTGCCCATCTGTTAGCTACTCATGCTTTTAATGATGCTAATTATTTTGTGACCTTTGATCAACCCTTACTTTTTTGTATGAAGGTGGTAGCAGATGGTAAAAGGAGAATCTATGAAAACTTTGAATAGATTGTTATCTTTTATGATTTTAGTACTTTGTTCATTGAAAAAAATTATAGAAAAGGATAAAAAAATTATAATAAAGAACCTAAAAATATAAACAAGGATTCAAAAATTTTTGGTCATTTTTTTTGTAATTTTTTTTGGGTTCTTTTATGTCATGTTATGGTCAAAATACAATCAAAAATTAACTTTTGCTAGTGGCATGACTAAATTGCACTATTTTTAAAAGTTAAAAGAATAATAATTTGCACAATGAACAAGTTTAAAATCTATGATTTTACTGAACTTATAGTTTAGAGATAATTTACCATTTATCTTTTTTTTTTGGAACAATTTGCAGAATAAACAACTTGTTGAATTTTTAGATAGAATTAATGAGATTTAAATTTTTTTTAATTCTTATAAAATTGTTAGAAATAATTTATAAATAGGACTAGAAGGAATATACGTACAAACTTTTATATATATATATATATATATATCATTTTTCATTGAACTATCTAATTTTTCATTCTTCATTAAAAATTAAGTCTGATGTTTGTTAAATTAAAACCATCTAATATTCTTTTATTAGCAAATATATTTTACTATCTAATTTTTCATTCTTCATTAAAAATTAAGTCTGATGTTTGTTAAATTAAAACCATCTAATATTCTTTTATTAGCAAATATATAATATATAAAAATATATATATATATATATATATATCAAGAGTGAGACAAAAAAGGTAATGAAATTTATTGTTAATTCTATACTTCACCTTCTATAACCTTTCCAACTATCGTTATGGGGACCTGAGTTAGCCAGACCATGCTTTCTCAATAAATGGTGTCATTTTCTTTATCTTCCCAAATAATATAAAGTAAATTAATCTAAATCCATGTTAATTAAAAAAATGATAATTATAATTTTTAAAACTGTTTAACAAAATAAACTTGAATAAGCCATAAAGCTCGAGACGTCAGGATTGAATTTGGATATACATTTTTTTAATATATTTAAGTATTTGAAATTCAGCTTGGATAAGCTTGACTTATTAGAATTATTGGCTTTATTATATATTCTTATCATAGGATAAGTTTTTATATAATATGAAAATATTAATTATTGTGTATATTTGATAAGGTGAAATAATAAAAAATAGAAGTTTTTGAACCAAAATTCTATAACATTTTTTGAATAAAAAAATAGATATCAATTTCTAAAAATTGAGTGCGCAAGATTGTGAGTTTAATTGAGAAGCCTGTTGTCTTTATAAATGTGTTTCTCATTACTTTGGAGGCACTAATTCTATTATTGGTTTGTGAAGCAAAGCATCTCTTTTCATAAAGCTCCCCACTCCAATTTCCAACACGAAATTGACTTTTGCAAAACCCAATTTTAATAATCGTTTTTTAGGTAACTTAAAGGGGCAACCACATTAAAAAATAAATAAATAAGGATTAAAATATTTGGAAATTTAAAATAAAGAGAAAAAAA